CCAGGCTGGAGTGCACTGGTGCGATCTCGGCTCACTGCAACCTCCACCGCCCAGGTTCAAGTGATTCTCCTGCCTCAGCCTCCTGAGTTGCTGGGATTACAGGAGCCTACCACCATATCTGGCTAATTTTTGTATTTTTAGTGAGACAGAGTTTTGCCATGTTGGCCAGGCTGGTCTTGAACTCCTGACCTCAGGTGATCCACCTGCCTCGGCCTGCCAAAGTGCTGAGATTACAGGCATGAACCACTGTCCCTGGCCAGTACCAGGACATCTTACTTTGGCTAAGGTAAGTCAAGACATTGCTGAAACTATACAAATGAAAGGTTGGTCAAAGCTAACCATTTTAATCTAAATGTATACCACTCTATAAACCATCAATGTAGAGCACTGTTTCAAATTTTAGAAGTTTTACAAATTTCCCAAAGAGCTGAGCAAAGAGTGAGAAAGCATGCAATGAGATAAACCAGCAACCAGATAAACACAAGAAATATGACAATGTTATTTTAAACAATTTCAAACATATGTGACTCTTACCTGATTTCATTTCTAAAAGTGTATTGTTATCAATTTCATGGTTAGCTTTTCCAGGCTGAGGCACTCGTAGTGGTATGATCTGAGGGACACACACTGAACCAGCAGTCATTTTCTCTCCTTATACATAGAAAAAAAATAAATTCCACTGTGCACTTATAGCTGTACAGAAAAGTTGAAGAGAAGCACTTAATTTAAATGCAGCAAAACTAGTTCAAACAAAAGAGAATACTGTTAACATGGCACTACAAATATTATTCCCTTTTTAATTGAAATAATATTTACATTACGGCTGTATTTGCTGTTGAAGTCTTGTGTGAGGTTTCGATTATCTACATACCTCACTTCCAAGAAAGGAGCATGAATCACAAGACAGGGGAAAGAAGTTACTTTAAAAGGGTAAATTAAATGAGTAAGGAAAACAGAGACTATCACTAATGCTTTTACTTGAGTTCCCTCTAAATCATTCTCGCCTTTTCCTACCTTTGGTGTGTGTCACCTCTCTTGGCTTCAGGGCAAGTCGTCATACAAGGGGAACCAAAGTAACTCTGTGTGTAGCACAAAACGTTAGAGCTAACTTTTTTGAGAAATCTCCAAGTTCACAGCCTTGCCACTTTCACCAGAGCAGTTCTAGTATTTGAAAGCTGCAAAGACACTTTAGAAGGACTGCAGAGTATTAGTTGTTAGTGAAAAGGACGTTTGCAAGAATATAAACAGTGACCAATAAACACAAGCCTCCCATTCCATCTACTGTATTTATAAATCCTGGTATTAATAATTAACTACCAGTATGAAAGCCTTACCAGTCTTTTTGGAGGTGAGGGTGGGGAGGAAGGCCGTCATAATTTTTAATGCACAGAAGGTTTCAGGGAGAAAAAACGCTCTCCTTAACACAGCAACCATGTACACCTCTGTATTGTCTTTTCAAATTTCATTAAGAATCCACAGATTTTGCTCAATTATAATCTACATATTCATTCCATTTTTATAGTCTACTTCTTGCATTCTCACTGTATTATTTCGTTTTCCATGTACTTATTTATCCATTTGGGGCTGGCCTTTTAGGCTATTTCTAGTTTCTTTTTAGTTTTGCCTGTTGCTATTCTTTTTTTTTTTTTTTTTTTTTGAGACAGAGTCTCTCTCTGTCGTCCAGGCTGGAGTGCAGGGGCGCGATCTCGACTCACTGCAAGCTCCGCCTCCCGGGTTCATGCCATTCTCCTGCCTCAGCCTCCCGAGTAGCTGGGACTACAGGCGCCCGCCACCACGCCCGGCTAATTTTTTTTTGTTGTTTGTTTGTTTGTTTTGTATTTTTAGTATAGACGGGGTTTTACCGTGCTAGCCAGGATGGTCTCGATTTCCTGACCTCGTGATCCGCCCGCCTCGGCTTCCCAAAGTGCTGGGATTACAGGCGTGAGCCACTGTGCCTGGCCGCCTGCTGCAGTTCTAATAATGCTGATCTGAACATCTCTGCAGTTTGAGCTTTGTCACAGACTGTATTTTCAAAAGTGGGGTAACTAATTTAAGGGGTGAACTTAATGCCTCGTTGGATAGTTCCAGATCGAGGGCCAAGAATATAAACTGCAGATACTGACAGCACAGCAATAGCTCCTACAGGAGTGTAGCTGGACTTGAGACTTGCCTATAGTCGCATTTCCATTCAAGTGAAAGGCAGATAAAATAAAAATAGTTGAAAAATTATTTCTAAATAAAAAATATGTAGGAGAGGAGGTAATTCGCGAGCATCAACTAGCAGCTGCCCTTACGAAGCTGGGGTGGCCAGTGGGCCCCACGCAAAGGGAATCAAGAAAAAGGCGGATCCGCCAGGCCCAAATGGCAACGTGCAGCAGTCCACAGGATCCCCAGACCCCTCAACTCTCCCAAAGTGGACCGTCCTCTCGTAACCCGGATCCGGAACCCCGTTTGGTTGTCCCCGCCCGTCAGGGGCTGCCAAGGACACCTGCATCCTTTCGGCTGGAGTAAGGCAAGCTCTTCCCCTCCCCTAGCCGCCCTCCTCTTCCTCTAACCGGGGGACCCGTGATCGGGACCCCTAATCCATCTCTGCAGTTCCCAACCCAGTCGCCGGCCTCTCACCGCCTCTTGCCTCCTCCTTCGCCGCCGCCCGGGTTACCACAGACGCTGCGAGCCGTGCCCCGCCCACTGGGAGCTGGGCAGATGATTGGCGGCAAGGCAGCTTCTTAGCAACTAGCCCCGCCCCTGCCGCCCCGCAGGGAGCCTGGTACCTGCCTTGAGCTCCTTTCCGAGGGCTTTCCCATAGGCATCTAAGAATATTCCTTTACAGAGTTGCAAAGTGCTAAAAGTTGGCTTCCCAACTCAGAATGAAGGAACCAAGCTTGTGCGTCCGATGGGCATTGACATTCTGAAAAACAAGGATAAGAAGCTGTAGCGGTGCCTGTAAGTGGACCGGAGCAGGCGCGACTTGGCCACCTCCCGCCGAAAGGCAAGGAAGGACCGCTGCGACACGAGGAAAAAAGCCCCTCGTTTTCCGCTAAGCGCTATCCTCCACTGGTTCCCAGGGTTCTCCCGCTTGCTACCCGGCCGCTCTGTGCATCTTTCCCCCAGGCATCAGGAACTGCTCCCTCATGGCGGAGGTGAAGGTGAAGGTGCAGCCGCCCGACGCGGATCCGGTCGAAATAGAAAACAGGTAAACCAAACAGGTAAACCAGTGAGGCTCCGGCTTGGGACTCCATCAGGCGGCCAGCATTTGGGCAGCCGGACCCCTTCACCCGGATCCCTCGGGAGTGGCCGGAGCGAGTGGGGTGAGCACGCGGGAAAACGATTGCGAGGTTCTGGATCCACTTCTTCCCTCCCATCCTGGGAGAGCAGAACTCAAGAAGTTCAAAATGGGCTTGACAGCTTGCAACTTTGTGTAGCTGACTGGCTTTGCCCTGATACTTTTGGGGAAGTTGTGATGATGCGCTGCCTTCCTACTTTGACGTGATCAGTGCTTTGAGAGGAGACCCTCGGCTTTCCTTCCCTTTAGAACACTTGTGAATGCTTGTTCTGATCCAGGATCGCTCTTGTCACGAAGGGAACGTCTATGTCAAAACGTTTAGGCGGAGGTAGGGCGCAGTTGGTGATTACGAAGCAACATTAAGTCAGGTAGTTTCAGTGCAGTATTGAACTCAAGACTTTTAGGATACCCAAAGCCTCCGCCAGTTTCATTTTTATTTGTTTATTTGTTTGTTTGTTTTTGAGACGGAGTCTCGCTCTGTCGCCAGGCTGGAGTGCAGTGGCAGGATCTCGGCTCACTGTAAGCTCCGCCTCCCTGCAACGTCTGCCTCCTGGGTTCAAGCGATTCCCCTGCCTCAGCCTCCCGAGTAGCTGGGACTACAGGCGCGCACCACCACGCCCAGCTAATTTTTTGTAGTTTAGTAGAGACGGTGTTTCACCATGTTGTCCAGGGTGATCTCCATCTCCTGACCTCGTGATCCGCCCGCCTCGGCCTTCCAAAGTGCTGGGATTACAGGCGTGAGCCACCACCGCCTTTTATATTTTTTAGCGAGGCACTGCCACTCTTAGATTATCACGTGCTTTTAAAAGACCTAACTTTCTCAAACTGTTAGGAATAATACATTTGTTGATGTTGACTAGGTGAAGATTTTGACCTATTTTGGTTGGTAGATATAATTCCCAAAACAGGCCCCATTTTGGTGAATTGTCATAAATTTTGGCTTCCCACCAGAAACGTCTGCATTTGCCTCCTGCTTGCAGATTTATGGCTTAACTTTGTCATACTTATTACACCTGAGAAAATTGAAGTCTCAGCTTTAATATTATTTCTATGATTTCATTAGACTTTTGCTCTAATTTAAAGTTATTAGTGAGGAAAAGAAATATTCTTCTTAAATAACGATAATACTGTAATCATGTATTTAGAAATCATCTTTTTCAGTGTCTAAAATGCTTTGATCCAAAACCATCGCAGAAACCCAGATTGTCTTCCAAATGTGAAAAAGGCACAATTTCAAACTATTCTACTTGTGTTTTTACCCCTACTGTCTCTTGAAACAGGTAACCATGAAGGATAACATTAATACCCTTGTTTCTAGGATTATAGAATTATGTCACCAGTTCCCTCATGGAATCACAGACCAAGTAATTCAGAATGAAATGCCTCATATAGAGGCCCAGCAGCGGGCAGTAGCCATCAATAGGTTGTTGTCTATGGTAAGGTGAATCTAACTATTTTGCATAATTACTGATATGCTGATTATCATCGGTTTTTATTATGTAGTTGTGATGGTTAATTTCATGTCAACTTGACTAAGATACAGGATTCCTAGATATCTAGTTAAACATTTTATTGGAGTGTCTGTGAGGGTGTTTCTGGAAGAGGTTAGCATTTTGAATTGGTGAACCCAGTAAAGTAGATGTGGGTCCAATGTGGTTGAGCATCATCCAATCCATTCAGGGCCTAAATAGAACAAAGTGGCAGAAGAAGATTGAATTCACTCTTTGAATTCAATCTTGATCTGGGCTATGGATCTTGTGCCCTCAGCACTCCTGGTTCTCAGACCTTCAGACTTGGACTGGCATCTACACCCTGAGCTCTCTGCTCTCAGCCCTTTGATCTCCAACACTAACTTTCCTGGGTCTCCAGCTAGCAGAGGGCAGATTATGGGACTCCTCAGCCTCCATAATCACAGAGCAAATACCTTCTGAGGAATCTTTCAAGAGAGAGATGTATCCTATTGGTTGTGTTTCTCTGGAGAACCCTAACACAGCAGTCATAAAACGAGAAAGTATGTTAGGTTTGACTGATAAGACTCTAAACCAGGAAATACCTCAAACTGCCTGAATTGAAAAAAGAAATAATTATGCATTATAAGACAAATGAAATAAATGTATTATGTTATAACTGTTGTATTATTAATTGCCACTGCCGTACATAGGTCTAGTCTGTTCTCACCTTCTGTTCACTTCCTACTACTGGTGTTGGACCATTTCCTATAAAATATACCACCCCCTTCCAACCCCCGATTTTTCTATGAGTTGTCACAGAGCCCAGTCATCAGGATTTCATTCTCCACATTGTCACTGAGCATTTCAGGAAGCAAGAATGAGTCCAGTTGAATGAAGAATGCTGGGCCTTGGGGAGGAAGTGCAGCCTTAGGCCCCGGTGACATCGCAATGAAATATATCATTGAAGCTATTCTCTAACTGTCCAGAAACAAACAAACAAGCAAGACTGTCTAAAAATCCCCTAGTGGTGCCGGATGCTCTAAATCTCTCCTTACTTTCCCTCATCATGAAAACATACTTTTCCTGAGAGCATTTCAGTTTGGCTTTAGTAGCAGTTAGGTTAAAGAGTTCTACGCCAAGGCATCATCTGAATGACTGATTTGTTTTTTAAGTCCACTAGCCTTATTGGATCTCCAAGGGCTCTGGATGTGGAGATTTGGGGTCAGATGAATCTTTTCTTAAACCTTTCCCATCAATTTTCTAGCTCAGGAGTTCGCAAACTTTTTCTATAAAGTGCCAGAGAGTATATGTTGTAGGCTTTGTGAGCCATATGATTTCTTTCACAACTACTCTGTCATTTTAGCAAGAAGCAGCCATGGATGATGATACATAAACAAATGGCTACAGCCATGTTCCAGCAAAACTTTAGTTATAAAAACAAGCTGTGGAGCAGATTGCTGACCCCTGTTCTAGCCCAAGGACAAAGGAATGTTGCTGATTTCTAGTTATTTCACTGTGGCGAAGGTCTTCAGCTCTAGGAAGCATAGAGGAAGGGATTCTGGGAGGTTGTAGCAGTGGAAAAATTCCTTTTTTCCTCTGATCGCCCTTTCAGCTCTTTCCTTCTGACTGAAAATCATCTTCAGCACCTCTGTTTTACCACCTCTGCCACCACCCACCCACTGCGAGTCCTATTGGCTATAGGTTGTATGTAGGCAGTAGTAGAGCTATCAAAGGATATTAAGAAATGAAGTGATAATTAATAAATCATGTAGTGTTTCTGATTTTAGCTCTTAAAAACAGTTCTTAAATTTGCTCTTCACACCCCCTCCATTTCTGTCCCTGGTACCGAACTATGTTCAGGCTCAGGGCTTTTACCTCGACAGCTGCAGTAGCATCTTAACTGGCTTCCATGACTCCATCGGTCTCAGAGAAGCCAGCCTCATTTGGGATAACAGTCGTGAGCCACTGCCCCTTGCCCCCGATCCATCTTAAATGCAGGTCTGACCAAGGCACTCTACCACCTACAATTTGTTTATACTGGAGATTGAAGTTCAAACTCCTCGGTTTACCACACTGAGTCCCTGCATTGCTCACCAGCCTCATCTCCACCACTGTACCTCAAAAGTTAGGTTTCAGGAGGAGCAGACTGTTTTTGGTTTCCTGCCACATCATGCTGTTTCATGCCTTGGGACTCATGTTGTTCCCCCTGCTTAGACGGTTCTTCTTACTCTTTACAGATGACTAACTCTTTATTATTTAAGACTCAGCTCTGCCATTGTCTCCAGGAAGTCATTGAACTCCCCCCTACTCCCAGGTTGGACCACAGCCTGTTCTCCGAGTACCCAACCTGAGAGTTCAGGGTGGCTTTACTTACCTCTATCTTAATGCCAACCAGATGGTACTGAAGTCAGCTGTGTGTTTCTCTTTTAGAATTCATGTTGTTCCCTCAAACACCTATCATAACACCTGGCACAGTACAAGTATTCAGTAAATATTTATAAGCTGGATAAATGACCAAATAGAGCCTCTGGATTGGGCCTTGTAGTCCTACTTTGCCACTTCATGGGGTCAGGGAACAGAGGGAGTGTGTCACCATTCATTCAGTATGTAAATCCATTTCCAAGTCATGAGTGTCTGTTTTAAAACAAGGGAATGGGCTGGGCACAGTGGCTCATGCCAGTAATCCCAGCACTTTGGGAGGCTGAGGCAGGCAGATCACTTGAGGCCAGGAGTTCGAGACCAGCCTGGCCAATATGGCATAACCCTGTCTCTACTAAAAGACAGAAATCAGCCTGGCATGGTGGCATACACCTGTAATCCTACCTACTTGGGTGGCTGAGGCATGAGAATCGCATGAACCCAGGAGGCAGGGGTTGCAGTGAGCCAAGATCGTGCCACGGCACACCAGCCTGGGTGACAGAGTGAGACTCTGTCTCTAAACAAATAAATAAATAAAACAAGGGAATGGCCTTTCTCTCAACTATGGCTTTCCAGTACTGCCAGAGCCTAGTGCTATAACTATCTGGGTTCTCTTAAGTTCGGACCCAAGGAAATTCAGGAGCATGACAGACATACTTTATTTTACTTCTGAATTGCGATGTAAAAACGATACTACTCTAGTTCTTTTATTCATTGGCTGACATCAGTAAATGTCACTATTAACTCTTTTTGGGTTTTTTTTTGTTGTTTTTTTTCAAGATGGAGTCTTGCTCTGTCACCCAGGCTGGAGTGTAGTGGTGCGGTCTCAGCTCAGCCTCCCAAGTAGCTGGGATTACAGGCACTTGCCACTGCACCAGGCTAATTTTTGTATTTTTAGTAGAGACAGGGTTTCGCCATGTTAGCCAGGCTGATCTCGAACTCCTGACCTCAAATGATCCACCTGCCTCGGCCTCCCAAAGTGCTGGGATTACAGGTGTGAGCCACCATGCCCAGCCATTAACTTTATAAATTTTATTTTTCACTGTGCAACAGAATATGCCTATTTAGTCTTTATTTAAACTTTTTATTTATATAAATTATATTTTTACTGTATTTATTTTATATATGTAATTTGGATTTATTTGATTTTGAATATAGATTTTTATTCTCAGGCTGCTTTTTAAAAATTCTTTATGCATTGGTCATATAACCAAGCCAAGATCTAGCATACAGGAAATTGTTAATATTGATATTTTGAAAAATTTTTAGATTAAAGAGCAGGTTTTGAAAAATTAAGAATGTTAAATAATGTATCAGCATTTGTCATTTGACATATCTCCAAAATAATTGACTCCTGTTTTCTACTGTCTTAAAAACTAGGGTCAGTTGGATCTCTTAAGGAGCAATACAGGCCTTTTATATAGAATAAAGGACTCTCAGAATGCTGGGTAAGTACTAGTTTTTTTAATTTTAAGAGAATTTTTATTATTGCAAAAATAATGTATGTGTTGGGAATAAAGCTAATACAAAATTACATAAACCTGTCCTGTGTATCATCCCCACCTCCTATGATATATTCCATTTCCCAGAGGTAGCTGCTCTTAATAATTTAGTATATATCCTTTCTTCTAACTATATATAAATACACATAGATGATTATATATTTATATATAATCTTTCTTTTTTTTTTTTTTAACAAAAATGGAATCATGCTATCCATTCTGTTTTGCAACTTGTTTTTTTCACTTACTATATCTTGGACATCTTTTCATGTTGGTACACACAGCTCTGTCTCATTCTTTTTAAGGTAAGCCTTTCTTTTGGTAAATATGTCACTGTGGTGACCTTGTCTGTTAATTTTAAGTAGTGATGTAGATTATTAGATTATCTTATAGTCTTTACCTTATTAATTTTACTTTATTCCCCTGCAGTAAAATGAAGGGGTCAGATAACCAAGAAAAACTAGTATATCAAATCATAGAGGATGCAGGAAATAAAGGTAAGCATGTGAAGGATGAAGCAGAAAAAAACACTGTCTTTGGAGCCAAATATAGGGACCCAGATCTCAGCTTCCCAGGGTAGAGCTCGGTGAACAGAGTATGCTGAGGAAGGGAATAGAACATACAAATATAACATGCATGTGCTTGAAGGACACCCAAGAGTAAGGCCATTGCTGCCTTGAAAGAGACAAGAACTAGAGGGCTGTGGCCAGGGATGGAAAAAGACTTCTGAATTCTGAGTCACATGAATGTATTATCTATTCAAAATAAATCAAATTTAAGTTTTTTTTTAAAAAAATCTGTACCTTCTAGCTATATGACCATGAACAAGTTACTTAAACTTTGTAAGCTTCAGTTTCTTCATCTTATCTATAAATTGTGGATGCTGACACCTCTCGTTTTTGCAAGGAGCAAAAGGAAAGCCAGTGTCGTGTAGCAGTGTCTTAATGGATGTCCCTCTGCGCTATAGTTCCTCTTCTACCCCCCTTGAAGAACTGTATCTAGATTGCAATCCTCAATTACAATAATTTAGGATCTATTTGAGTCATTGATAGTAGCTTGAAAAATTGAGATGTAATCTGAAATTATATAACTAATTCTTGTATTTATTAAAATTAACATTTTTAAAAATAGTCCTATGAGAAGGCCATTCTGCATATTTTTTTAATCTTCCTGTCTCATTATGCCACTACATTGGGAAGAAAATAAAGCAAAATGTTTACATACATTCCCTTTCCATATATAACACTTATTTCCGTCTTTGAAAAAGAAATCATTGCTTCTCACACAGGGCTTTTAGCAGGCATAAGAATCCTAGGCTTCCTTTTTCCATCTCACAAATACAATGTTGTATAAATAATGGATTACGTGCATGCAGACACTCATCTGAAGAGTGTTTTTGTCCCACTTGAGGATGGCAGTTGACCTTGACCCAAATTTAAGTTTGTATTTCACATTTACAATCTAAAATGAAAATATCAGAAAACAGAATTAAGGGTACGGATGATATAAGTTAATTCTGTTGCATCCATGATTTTTCCTTCCATTATAAAAATGTCCTTTTCATAATTTTTTTTGTTTGGTTTTTTGAGACAGAGTCTCACTCTGTTGCCCAGACTGGAGTGCAATGGCGTGACCTCGGCTCACTGCAACCTCCGCCTCCCGGGTTCAAACGATTCTCGTGCCTCAGCCTCCCAAGTAGCTAGGAGTACAAGGTGCACGTCACCAGGCCCAACTAATTATTTTTGTATTTTTAGTAGGGACAGAGTTTCACCATGTTGGCCAGGCTGGTCTCAAACTCCTGAGCTCAAGTGATCCACTTGCCTCGGCCTCCCTAATTGCTGGGATTACAGGCATGAGCCACCGTGCCCGGCCCTTTCCATAAAATTTTTAAAAGTGTGCCACACTGGATTCCAAGAAATTTCTGGTTAGAAATTATAAATCATTATAATAAATCTTATAAAGCATTAGACTTATTTATTGTTTGGCATACTTTTGCTACTTTAGCCAAGGTTCTTACCTCTAAGTCATTTCATTTTTACCGTTAGCTTTATACCGCTAGCTTTGGAATGAGATACGAGTTAGAGGAATAAAATTAAAAATCCATGAAAACATAGCTCAACTTATTTTACTTTACTTTCTCATAGGAATATGGAGCAGAGATATCCGCTATAAAAGTAATTTGCCATTAACAGAAATCAACAAAATCCTGAAGAATTTGGAAAGTAAAAAGCTTATCAAAGCTGTTAAGTCTGTGGCAGTGAGTAGTCCTTTCCTCAAATATCCACTTACATATGTTGCTTCAAGTTTGAATTCTTGAAGTTATGTCATGATTTAGAACAGCTGGTTCAAAAAGACTTAAAAATTTAGCTCATGTTGGATTGGTTTGGAGATACTGCTTAGACTTATCCCTACACAGTTAGTTCTTGGTATCTCACCCACTCAAAGATCTAAAACTACTTTACTGTCTTCAGTGAAGAATCTTTGGAACTGTGAACATTTTTCCTAGATTTTGTGGTGTGTAGGATAATTTACTTTATCCCAACATATTAACTTTCTCATTCAACAAAGAGTATTTTTCTGCGTGCCAGACACTGTTCTGAGTGCTTGGGATACATTAATGAACAAGTCGTAGAAAGATCCGTGCCTTGGTGGAGCTTCTTTTCTAGTACACGTGTGTTTTTCCTGCTCCTCATCCTGTCCCACTCCTGCTCCAGAGCTGGCTCCCTCAGGACATCTGCCCCTAATCTCACTGATTTAGACATCAGAGGAGCTGAGATTCCCCTAGAATAAAGTTTGCTTCAGTATACATTTCATAAGAATTAAAGCTATAATTCAAATTTTATAATTTCCAAACTGTTAAGTCTGTGGCAGTGAGTAGACCTTTCCTCAAATACCCACTTACATATGTTGCTTCAAGTTTTTATTTTTGAATAAAACAAGAACTATAAGAACTGTAACATCAGTTATAAGAATTTGATGCTTATTAGTGATTTTATTTATCAAATATTTATGCTGTACCACTTCTCATTTAGAATAACATTTCCCTTCCACATTGTTTAATGGATAATTTCAAATATATATAAAGGTAGAAAAAATCATATAATGAATCCCTGTGTATCCATCACCTAGCCTCATTTTGCCAGTCTTCCTTCTACATCTTTATGTTTAATAACAGCTTTGCTGAAATATAATTCATTCACACCACAGAATTCATTCATCCTTTTAAAGTGTAAAATCTTTGGATTTACAGTCACTGGTTTTTACTATAATCTTAGAGTTGTGCAACTATCACCGCTGTCCTAATTTTAGAACATTTTCGTCACCCCCAAATGTGACCACTAGTATTTATTTCTCAGCCTCTCTTTCCACAGTCCCTAACAACGAATAGTTTATTTTCTGTCTTTATTATAGATTTGCCTATTCTGGACAGTTCCTATAAATGGAATAATAGAATATGTAGTCTTTTATGTATGACTACTTTGACTTAGCGTGATGTTTTCAAGGTTTATCCATATTGTACTTCATTCCTTCTTATTACCAATTAAAATTCCATTGTACAGATGTATATCACCGTTTGTTCATTCATCCGTTGCTTAACTTCCATGTCCTTTTAAGGGTAAAAATAATCTTAGATCTAAGTGTAAAGTGCAAAACTATAAAACTTTCAGAAGAAAACACAGAAAATCTACATGACCTTGGCTTTATTAATGAATTGTTGGACTACAACTCCAATAGTAGTCTATGAAAGAAAATTTGATAAGTTGGAGTTTATCAAAATTTTTTGAAAACCTCGGCTTTGCAAGACATTGCTAAAAGACAAGTTACATACTAAAAGATATTTGCAAATCACATATTTGATAAAGCACTTGTCTCCAAAATATACAAAGAACTCCCAAAATTCAACAATAAGAAAACAACACTTTGGGAGCCCAAGGCAGGTGGATCAGCTGAGGTCAGGAGTTCAAGACCAGCCTGACGAACATGGTGAAACCCTGTCTCTACTAAAAATACAAAATTATCCAGGCGTGGTGGCACATGTCTGTAATCCCAGCTACTTGGGAGGCTGAGGCAGGAGAATTGCTTGAACCCAGGAGGCAGAGGTTGCAGTGAGGCAAGATTGCACCACTGTACTCCAGCCTAGGCAACAAAAGCAAAACTCCATCTCAAAACAAACAAACAAACAAAAAACAAAGAAAACAAATAATCCAACTAAAAATGAGCAAAAGATCTGAACCTCACGTCAGATGACAGATAAGCATATGAAAAGATGCTCTACATTATTTTTCATTAGAGAACTGCAAATTAAAATTTAGTGTAGTGAGATGCCACTACACACCTATTAGAATAGCTAAAACCTAAAAATCAGTAATACCATATGCTGACAAGATACAAACCAAGACGAGCACTCATACATTGCTAAGAATGCAAAATGGTACAGCCCCTTTGTAAAAAAGCTGGGCAGTTTTTTACAAAACTAAACACAGTCTTACCACATCGTCCAAAGGTCAAGCTCTTAAGTGTTTACCCAACTGATTTGAAAACTTATGTCCACATAACTACATGAATGTTTATAGCAGCCTTATTCACAATCAGCAACTTTATTCATAATCAAAAGCAACCAAGGTATTCTTCAATAGGTGAATGGATAAACAAACCAGAATATTATTCAGTTATAAAAAGAAATAAGCTGTCATGAAAAGATATGAGTAAATCTTAAATGCATATTGCTAAGTAAAAGCAGCCAGTCCAAAAAGGCTACATACTATATGATTACAACTACATGACATACTGGAAAAGCAAAACTATACAGACTAAAAAGATCAGGGGTGAGGGCAGGGGTGGTAGGGAAAGTTGAATAGGTGAAGCACGAGAAATATTTTTCGGGTGGTGAAATTATTTTGTATGACAGAAGCATTAACCAAATTAACCCAAGCTTTGCTGTCCAAAGTTTTTATTAGGGTTTCATTATACAGGCATGATTGATTGAATCATTGCTCATGTGAGTGAATTCAATCTCCAGCTCCTCTCCCCTCCCAAGAGATTGGACTGATTGTCACGTGGCCCAAAGCCCCAACCCTCTAATCATGTGGTTGGTCTTTCCAGCATGGACACCTCCTATCCTGAAACGATTTAGGGTACCATCAGGAGTCACTTTGTTAGCATAAACCCAGGTGTGATCTAAGGGATTCACCATGAATAACAAGGCCTATTGGGAAATTCCAAAGATGTAGAAGTTACTTCCTAGAAAAAAAGACATAGTCTAGCCAAATTTTTTTTTTTTTTTTGAGACATGGTCTGGCTCTGTCACCCAGACTGGAGTGCAGTAGCATGATCATAGGTCACTGCAGCATCAACCTTCTGGGCTTAAGCCATCCTCCCACCACAGCCTTCCAAATAGCTGGGACTATAGGCACATGCCACCATGCTCAGCTAATTTTTGTATTTTTGTAGAGACAGCGTTTTACTATGTTGTCCAGGCCTGTCTTGAACTCCTAGACTTAAATATCTACTCACCTCAGACTCCCAAAGCGCTGGGATTACAGGCATAAGCCACCATGCCTGGCCCAAATTCTTCATGTTTACACCCCAGTGAAATTTGGGTTCCTCAATGTTGGAGTGAGCAGTTACAGACAAACAAAGGAAGTTAGAATGATCCATGTAGCAATGGATTAGACTTGAAAACATCAGTATGGACTCTTGTATAATTTAATATAAATAATATAGATGGTTAATTTAGAAATATTGAGGATAGCTATATGTATATATACAAAGGTTAATATGCACACATAAGTCTTGTGCTGCCAACTGAGAAGGCCTAGAAGTGATGACATCCCGATGGCAATGAACACATCTAGTGCCCAAGTCTTGGTTTCTAATACTATCATGCAATAAAATGAACATACTGAAAATGCTCCTGACGCTGGGCACGGTGGTTCATGCCTGTAATGCCAGCACTTTGGGAGGCCAACGCAGGTGGATCACCTGAAGTCAGGAATGAGACCAGCTTGGCCAACATGGTGAAACCCCATTTCTACTAAAAATACAAAAAATTGGCTGGGCATGGTGACGAGTGCCTGTAATCCCAGCTACTCAGGAGGCTGAGACAGGAGAATCGCTTGAACCTGGCTGCAGCCTGGGCAATGACAGCAAAGCTCTGTCTCACAAAAAAAAAAAAAAAAAAAAAAGGAAATGCTCTTGACATCTTGTAGTGCTAGAAAGCAAGAAAGTGCTAAAATAGCTGGACACGGTGGCTCACGCCTGTAATCCCAGCACTTTGGGAGGCCGAGGCAGGAGGATCACGAGGTCAAGAGATCGAGACCATCCTGGCCAACATGGTAAAACCCCGTCTCTACTAAAAATACAAAAATCAGCTGGGCGTGGTGGTGCGTGCATGTAATCCCAGCTACTTGGGAGGCTGAGGCAGGAGAATCACTCGAACCCAGGAAGCAGAGGTTGCAGTGAATGGAGATTGCACTACTGCACTCCAGCCTGGGCGACAGAGCAAGACCCTGTCTCAAAAAAAGAAAGAAAGAAAGAAAGGGCTAAAATACACACACACACACACACACACACACACACACACACGCAATGATGGGAGCATATCAAAGGGATACAGGAACCAAGTGAAAAGCTTCCAATGCCCAAAGCATTCCAAAGCTTCCAATATGGGAATAACAATGAAGTATTTGAATGTAACTCAAAGTATAAGATAAATACTCATGAGTCCATAGTGATAGAAATATGGTGTTTGAGAAAGTGTCACAACTAAAAGAAGCCTGGGAGAGATGACTAAATGTAGTATGATGTCCTGGATGGAATCCTGGAGCAGAAAAGGAACATTAGGACTAATGAAATCTGAATAAAGTACGGCATTTAGTTAGTAATGATTTATCAATATTAGTTCATTAATTGTGACAAGTGTACCACACTAATCCAAGACGTTAAAAATAGGGGAGACAGCGTGGAGCATATAGGAGCTCTGTGTACTATCTTTGCAATAATTCTGTACGTCTTAAACTGTTCCAAAATATAGGTGTTTTTCTTTTCGTTTTTGGAAATTGTTATAAACACCTGAACTGTGCGTGTTCTTTCCTAGGCCTCAAAAAAGAAGGTGTACATGCTCTATAACCTGCAGCCGGATCGGTCTGTGACTGGCGGAGCCTGGTATAGTGACCAGGATTTTGAATCTGAGTTTGTAGAGGTGCTGAACCAACAGTGTTTTAAATTCCTGCAATCCAAGGTGAGGTATGATTGAGGAAACATCACCACAAACCCTCTTGTAAAAAGTTTTTCGTAGAGGATTTTAATCTATCATATTTTATAGGAATTAAAAACCTGAAATTGGTAATTTTTACTAAACTAAATATGTTCTGCTGTTGGTTTGACTCAGTATAAAGTGTATTCAGAAAACACACCAATATTCTTGCTTAGATTTCTTATGTTTCAATCCTTATAGGCAGAAACAGCACGAGAAAGCAAACAGAACCCAATGATACAAAGAAATAGTTCATTTGCCTCATCACATGAAGTGTGGAAATATATCTGTGAATTGGGAATCAGTAAGGTCAGAACTGAATTTCATCTTATTTTTTAAAACTTATTCTTCATCACATATAATGTATTCCAAACATGTATTTGACCCAGACTGTTTTTTGGGGGATGATAGCTACGAACATTCTGCAGAATCCACTTTGGGAAAATACTGTCCTGTATCTTAAGCAAAGGCAGTCACTACCATTGGGCATTGTCTGAACTGACACTAAGCTTGGGACACTGATGCTTTTTAAATTTTTTTTGGAAATAGGGTCTCATTTTGTTGCCCAGGCTGGTTTTGAACTACTGGACTCAAAGTGATCCTCCTGCGTTGACCTCCCAAAGTGCCACTGTACCCTAGCCTTTTGAAATTCTTTTTTTAAGGACACGGATGCTTTTCACAGTGAAGAAATCAAAGTGGCCATTTTGGACGTTTCACTTTAATTTCCTGGGCCTCAGATTTCTCATTTATAAAAACTAGGAACTTGGACTATTTGATGTTTAGAATGCCTTTCTGCTGAAGCATTTTATAAATCTCCAATAAATTCCTGCTAAAGAAATGCTACTTTTTTATAAGATTTCTAGATTTTACCTAGGAAGTAAAAATACCAGAAAGTGTCAAACTCAGCATGCGCTTAGAGTTCTGTCCCTGGCATTTCAGTGGTTTGTGCTAACTTGGACTATTGTTCCTCCTCTTTGTGCTTCAAATTACTCCACCCCAGCATAATGTTTCTCCCATTTCCCAGAAGAATTATGACCCTTTACTGTTTTATTTATTTATTTGAGATGGAGTTTGACTCTTGTTGCCCAGGCTGGAGTGCAGTGGTGCAATCTCAGCTCACTGCAACCTCTGCCTCCCATGTTCAAGCCATTCTCTTGCCTCAGCCTCCCGAGTAGTTGGGATTACAAATGCCCGCCACCACACCTAGCTAATTTTTGTATTTTTAGTAAAGATGGGGTTTTGCCATGTTGGCTAGGCTGGTCTCGAACTCTTGACCTCAGGTGATCCACCTGCCTCGGCCTCCCAAAGTGCTGGGATTACAGGCGTGAGCCACCGCGCCCAGCAACCGTTTACTGTTTTAACACCCTCCAAGTGGATATCTCCCTGTCCTATTTGTGTCCTTTCTGATGTATGCCTTTTTTAGGTAGAGTTATCCATGGAGGACATTGAAACCATCCTGAATACACTCATTTATGATGGAAAAGTGGAGATGACGATCATCGCTGCAAAAGAAGGCACAGTTGGCAGTGTAGACGGACACATGAAACTGTACAGGGCAGTCAGTCCAATCATCCCTCCCACGGGTTTGGTCCGGGCACCCTGTGGACTCTGCCCGGTGAGTTACAGTGGCTTCACTTTACACTTGACTGCCCCTGGGTGCAAGTGCCACATTAAGAAACAGAGCAGGCC